TATGGGAGACCCCCTCCACGAGTTTCTCTGACCCTGATTTCTAGATAAAGGCACTTCACGTTATTTGAAAACCATAACCAACTTACCAGCTCAGCTTGATATAAGTCTTGATTCCGTTTCAGTTTGATACCTCTGCCACTGCAGTCATCTTGACAACGAGTGCTAATAAGGTCGGTCTAACGTTTTTGGAACGATACAATACGATACGATAACTTTATTAATCCACGGTATTTCCATCAGTCTATTTATGACAATCAACTACAGTAGCTACCTATCTTCGTAACTACAATCAAAGAATACGAGAAACGGATTTTGTATTTGCTCTCATTCTCTCTTCTAATGTTTGAGATACATGATTTACTTTAACACTGAATCAATAAATCATAACTTTCCTTTTCCATTAATTTTCGAAACTGATCGAGATTGTCGTCGTTTTGGTGAATATAAACATGTAAGAAAAACTCAACGAGTTGCCCACACGGCTAGGAACAATATAAACCAAATCAAGTTGCATCTCTACCATTTAATTTTATTTTAATTACATTGTGTTGCAGGCAAAATACACAGGTTTACTTGAAGGAACTCAGAAGTTAGAAAGCAGGTTTGTTACGTTACAAGAAACGCCTACTCAGTTCAACTGAGCATGCGGCAAGACCGCTTGGACGAGCCCTCATTCAGTTTAGTCTCGAATTCCCTATGTTTCTTTACTGCTGGCATCCTGTGGTTGAGGAAAACTTGGCCAGGGAAATCACATTATTATTGTGATGTCATCGTTTTCGAAAAGCTTCTTTTGCAAAATGTTTTACTTCCACACTAAAATGCAAAGCCGGCGTTTTCAAATTCCTCCGGTTTGAAGAGCGCTTTGAAGAGCTTTGTTTTCGTGACGGATTAGTGTGGACGGTGAGCCTAACGGTCGAAATAAAGCTGCGCTTTCAAATTTCTCAGGCTTAGTGTGGACGGAGCCTAAAAAGTCTATTTTGGGTATCTTTGGTTCTTAAATCATGCAGCAGCCGTTGAGTGTACATGTTATGGACAGTAGTCGCCTGTTTATTAAGGCCATCGCCTAGTTGGAACAGGCCACAACAGTCGCAATAAGATTAAGCCCTGTTAATCCAACATATAATAGTTATAGCAGAAAATGAATGAAAGTAATTTTTAGTGATATGAATGTAATATCATTTCATCAGCTTGCACCATCATCTGATCGAGCACTTGAATGCCGAGATCGTCCTTAATACAATCACGGACGTGTCCATCGCCTTGGAATGGTTGAAGTCCACTTTCCTATATATAAGGATATTAAAAAATCCTACGCATTATGGTGAGTGCAAGCTTTTAAATCTCTGCTTTAAAACTGTGAACAAACCTTGGTTTGTTGTTTTTTAATTCTTCTGAGGAGCATTGCTTTTTTTTTTTTACTACAGCTTTGCACCTCTCAACTACTAAAATCAAGAGAATTTTCTCTTGCTAAAATAGATAAGCAGCAGTCAGAAAACACGACTCCAAACTACAGGTTCCATGAAGCAGTAGAAGTAGAAGCAGTGACAGTTATTCCCCAACCCTCTTAGCACTATTATCCACAGTAAACCAATTGCACCCCAAGACAGCTAAATAATGCTGGGAGGAGCAAGGTGTTTATAGTAAAGTGCTTTGCCATCAAGTTTAGGAAGTAGCTACCGCTTGTAGCTATCAACAAGCCACTTTGTATCCCTTGACTTCTTTCGGCTTAATTTTCTGTAGAATTAATTCCTTAAAACGTTTATTTTTGACGATATGATGCTTTATTCGTGTCTGTTATTATTCCTTCTTCTTATAGGGATACCCGAGGGACTTGAGAAAAAAAGTTTGGAACAAAAGCTACAAGGTACATTTAGTTAATACCTTTACTTTTTTATATATACATTGTTACACCCACTGGTTGCAATACTTCTACAGTTACTTATACTGACTTACAAGGCTAATTCATATACTTACATTATTTATAGTACTTCGTATTCAATATGATTAAATCCGTCACTTACAATACTAAGGCTTACACTACTACTTATATTACTCACAATGCAATACATTCACTACTTACAATACAATACGATCACTTGCGCTGCTAACAAATGCTTACACTGCTTACAGTACGGTAGATAACTCATGTTGCTTATAATACTAGTTATCATTTCGTACACCGCAATACGAATAATAATGTCACTTGCAATATTATTCGATTAGTTATGCCACTTAAAACGTTTACACCTTTGACATAACGCATATTTGCATTATTGCATTACTACTGCACCTTTACAGTTTGGTAGTTAAGTTCAGGACTGAGGAAAATGCCTTCGAACCCTCCTATAGGTGTTCAAATTGGTACCTTCGATCATTCTTAAATTTAATTTTGGAAAATACTACATTAATCTGCTCCTATGACCCAAATAGTAAACGAGTGAAATCACAAGTTCTTCTTGGTCCGCTGTCAAGATTCTTTAGTTGGAAACTGGCAATCTAAACTAACTCTGAATTTTTTTTTTT